GTGAGTGCCCCCCTCCCTTGAGAGGCCAGGCTGGATGGGGCTCGGAGCAACCTGGTCAGGTGGAAGGTGTCCCTGTCCATGGCAGGGGGTTGGAACTAGATGGTCTTTAAGGTCCCTTCCAACCCAAACCATTCTGTGATTTCATGACTCTCATCTGGGAATGATTTTATGATACCAATCTCAGCTTGCTTGTCTTGTATTTTGTCTTAATGTGAATAATCAGAGAGATTATTATGTGGAGCAAACAGGAAATTAAGTAATGGCCTTAGACAAGAAACGTCTAGGAACATAAACTCAAGAAAGCTATGGCACTTTTGGTCCTTTAGTTGGCAGATGCTATTTTACAGGCCCAAGGATATTTGCAGGCCAAGTTTCTCAGCAGACAGAACCCCACACACACCTTTTCGGTCCAGAGGAAGATTAGTTATGAAGGTGACTAGTTATGAGGCTGTTCTCTGAGAACACAAGGGAGACTGAAATAGAAGCCTTGTGGGAGACCTATGTCAAGCTTTGAAGCAACTGATATGTGTTTCTTCAGACCCAGGTATGAAGCTTTTGTCACTTTAATCATTTGCTTGCTGTAAACCTTCAGATTCATAACACCAGTTTTGGTTTGAACAACTTCTTTTGCATCACTTTAATCTGCTTTGAGCCCCAGACTTCCAGATGAAGTTTCTTGAGGACACTGAATGCAGCTGACCTGTACTGAGGGCAGAGAAAGCAGGCAGCAAGTGGCAGCCTCCAGAGCCAGCCTGTCAGTGTGTGAACTGTACTCATCCACCCTTGAAAAGCACCTGGTGGGAATGTGGTTGAAGGAGATCTGAAGTGCCTAAGGCTCAGGCCCCATCGTGACTGTCACATGGTGCAGATCACAAATCCTGCCTACATTTTTAAAGTTTATAACTAACAGTAATGTTGGATCCTTATAATTTCACTTTTTGAGGAGATAAGTGCCTTTTGTTGAACCTAACTGATTTCCTGAACAAAGGGGCTCCCTTTCAGTTGCCCAGGAGACATAGTAGCACAGCCATACTCTTACGGTGAGAGAAATAGGTGGTAAAGTGCTGTGGGCTGGAACAGACTCATGAAATGTAGAGAGGCTTATTTTGTTACAGAATAAGGGAGTTGGGTTGTTTTTAATTACGTGCTTTGGTACCAACATCCGAGCAAGATGTTTTCTGTGGAAATTCAGTAGCTCCTTAGGTAGTATGTATGGGATGGTGATGTGAAAATGTGTGGTTGTGTTTTGCTGAGGCTGCGTCTTCAGTGAAATTGCAAAGGAACTTTGAATGGATGCTGTAAATCAGCATACAGCAAGTGTCTTGACATCAGTGGAATGAAGCAAATGTTTGGCTATTAAGTTTCCAGTTCCTGGAACAAGGAGTGCTGTGGTATTTGCTGTTGACATAGCAGAAATGAAAGGTCCAAGTTCCCAGTAAAATTTTCAGAGTTACCCTAGTGACTTAATAGTCTATATTCAATATTCAGTCATCTGGTCTTTCAGGAAAGTACTGAAGTGATTGTTCAAAAATTACTTTCCTAAATTACTGCAAAATTTCTATCTTGTTGTATTACTTGACAGTGATGTTACAATATTGTAGGAACATACGGGCTGATGAAATGTTTTTGCCTGTATATTACGTGTTTTAAACAAAAGTGCCTCAGCTGTCCATTTCGTGCTGAAGTAGACTGCAAAACAGCTAGTGTACTTGTTGATGCTTGTTAAAAGCATCCTCTTGAAGAATTTATCTATTTAAAAACTGATTTGAATCATAAGTGCAAACAGTTTTTATAGGGTTACACTTAAGACGATAAAACATGAGTGTGTGGGTTTCATCTGTAAGATTGTGTTTTACATGCAGGTCAATTTAAAATATCATCAATAAGGAGTCATATATGTGCATACCTAACAAGTACATTATGAGATGGGAATTCAGTTCATGTAACTCAGCTGGTTAATCTCCTACTGCCCACTCCAGAAAGGTAATTTGTGTACTGTCTTTAAACTAAAAAAAAAAAACACCAAAACCCAACAAAATTAAACCACAAAAAAAAAAGCCAACCCCAAAACCACACACACAAACCCCCAAACAAATGAAAAAGAAACCAAAAAAGTGTTTTGGAAAATTGAAATAATCAAATAGAAACAGGGAGAGAGTATGAAAGCAATTAAAATATTTTTCTTAATTTATGAAATTATTTAAAGGGAGGCTTTACTGTGGTTTCCTGTTTAATAGCTTTAGGTTTCAGACTAGAAGAGCATTTCAAGTTTAAGAGTTTCTCAGGTAGAATTTGTAGAGGGTATCTGCTTTTGATGTGATCCCACCATTAGGAAAACACAGTAGTCAAATTACCAAGTTGTCCAATGCTTTCAGTTCTGAAATAAGATATGGCATCATTGGATAAGATACTGAAATATTTATAATAATTAATATATAAAATATTAAATAACCATATTACCGGACAAGCAATGTAACATCCTGAAAGAGCCTAGTTAGAAGGACTAATTGCCACTGTCCCAGAGCCTGTTTCAGTTTGAGCTTATTTTTACATGCCATTTAAGAGCTGAAAGGTGCCTTTCTCAGTACTAGGTGAGAGTACAAGATTTCACACCTCTTTTGCTAAACTGGTTCACAATGAAAAATGAAGTGATATTAGCAGGCAGGGTGAGCTCTCTAAAGATAAACAACAACCTGCTAATTATCTCTGTTAAGCATAATTACATTTGATCGTTCTATTTCTGTACAGTTTTGCCAACAAACAGAATTGGGTCATTCCCCCAGCCAGAGCCATCATTCTGCTTCTGCCCAGAACGGTGCTTAGACTGAACTGTTGCTGATTTGACATCAAAAAAATCTGGTGGAGCTGTGCTATGAATTGGGCTTGCTTTATCAGATCACTCTGTGAAAGGCTGAGGAGACTGAACTAGTAACAGCTCAGCCCTGCAGGTACACTACTTTTTTTGCACAAGCAACCCTGAGCTATAGTGCGGACTTCTCAGAGTTACTGCCAAGCCTACTCATTGTGTGATGATGTGTATCTTTAAGAAAAGAAAAAAAAAGCAAACCCCCTTGATTTTCTTCTACTGTGTTTTCTGTGGTGACAATGTGCTGACAAAATGGAATTAACAAATCACTTCCTATTAGTAAAGAATGCAAATAACTGACAATTTCTAGTAATTTTAGGTGAGAGGCAAATAAGCTGCAACAAAATATTCATCTGTAGAGTCAATGTGTCCTAACAATCCCCTTTAAAGATTATCTTGATCTTACTGCCTTGCTATGTCACTACCTCAATCTCTCTCCACAAAAAGCATCTGGATAGATCTTAAACGTATCTAAATTAGTTGCTGTTTAGAAAGTGCATTCTAAATGTTCATTGCTCTTCTAAAGCAACAGTTTTGTTTTCAGGACTGTTAATTCTAATGGCAACTTCATTAACTTTTATGCAACTATGTCAGTTTACATTTACTGTGGGTCTGCCCCAGAAGTGTTCCAGGAGGGTTAACATAGGATGTAGTCTTGCACAGAAACACCACTATTGGTTTTGATCTGTATTTAATCCCTGCATTGACTGATTTCAGCATTCAAAGTTGGTTTTTTACATTTAGCTCCCAAATCTCTCCTCAGTCCTGGTTTGTTCTGTTTCTCTGCTTTCTCTCCTGTTTGCAGTTAATATTTTATCAGAGTTTTTAACAAAACAGAATATGCACATATAAAACAAGCTACATCAACAATGAACAGATACCAGGAGACAGTATATCAACCTCAAGGAACAGGACAGATTCCCAAATACACATGCATAATTTCCAGCTCCCTTTTTGTTACAGACACATGGAGTGGATACAGTAAGATGACAGAGACGGTAATTTCGTGGTTCTGTCTAGCTCTTCTCTGATGTGACTCTGATACCACTAGAGTTGTCAAAGCCTTACATCTACCCTTATTGTATAAGGCTGCTAAAGCATGATGTTTCATCTTTCTCATGGTCTTAGCAAGAAAAAGGTCTAATTTTGGCAAAATAAATTCTGTTTGTGATTAGCAAACAGACAATCCTGGCATGGTCCTGTGTTACCTTTCTGGTCTTATATATAACCTGTTATCTTCAAGAGGACACATTATCGACTGTCTGGCAAGCTCACCTGCCTTCCCTTTCTTGTTCTTTGTACTAGAGAAACTTCCCACATCTGTTTGCAGTCAGAGTGGAAAGAATTTGTGTAATATAATAGTCTCATGCCTTCGGTCATAAGTGTAATCACTGAGGCCTATGAGAGCACGCATTTCCTACAAATCCAGAGCAGCCAGTGTCTGGTCCCTTTTTCCAGTCCCTTGTGTCTCTCTGCATTGACATATACAAAATAAAATGAGAACAAATGGCCTGAAACATGCCCATTCTGTTCTCTCTCCTGCCATGTTTCTGTCACTAACTGCTAATAACTTTTTATTGTATATACTGGATTCTGGTTAGCTGCCTGAAATTTGTTTTTTAGCATTTGTTTGTCGAAGAACCTTCATTTATCTTTCTATCTGTCATATAAAAGATTGAGATCCTTCTTGCTGAACTGCTGTGCTGCTGTTCTCTTTTCTTACCTCTCCAGTTAAGTATTATCCTCAGATGAAATAGTCTAATCAAAGTGGATGGCAATACGCAAAGCTAACCCCACTTCCTGCTAGAGGGTGTACGTCTTGCTCTTTGAAGACCCATGGTGCACGAGCACAGGAAACAGAAATAAAAAGGCACACAATAAGACAACAATCCGTTTTGTTTGCATATTTTCTATTAAGTAGTTAACCAACATTTACTTGTTGGTAACAATTAGTTTTTAATTCAGAATAACTTCTAAAATGTTGTGTTACCTCCTGCATGAAAAGAAGTAATTTAAATGCCACCTTGGGGTCAGCCTACTGCTATTCAGCATATTTATCTTTGCCATTAGCTTTTTGGTAAAAGTGCTGCTTCTGTCTAGAGGCCACAAATCTTGTTTGTGCTTCCTGTTGCAGAATGTTTATTACACAAGCAATCAGCAGCTCCATGTGGGTGTTCTGAGTCCCACTATCGACGATGATGACAACAGATGCCTGGTGGATGTGAACAGCAGACCCAGGCTCATTGAATGCAATTATGCCAAAGCCAAGAGAATGAAGCTTTACTGGCAGTTTACTCAGGTAATTCTTACTCAGCAGACATTTCGGAAAGTTCAAAAGCTCTGTTCCTGTATCCGAAGTGCGAGTAATCTGTTTACTAACAGAACAGAACCAGATTTATCCTTGCTTTCTTTGCACAGAGCCAGGAAGCTACGTTTATATTTGATCCCAACGTCAGCCACCTCAGGAGGTTATAATACTTGCATTCTATTTTATGAGTTCACAATAAATTACTTGTTTCTAAGGCAGAATGACTGCTACAGAACTATCTCAATCAAAAAAACCCCATGTTATTTTGGTGGAGTCAAAGGCAAAGTAACCTATTTAGGAAAAATAAAAGGAAAGCTTTGTTGTTTGGTTTTTTTGAAAGTAGCAACTCAGAAAATGGGGTAGTGGGTCATTGATGATAACAACCTCATCCTGAGCTGCTTTTGCAGTTTCCTACAAAAGTTCTGGGGCTGGGAAAGACGCTCTGCGATATAATGCTCATAGGAGATCACTCTGTTCAGCTCAGCTAAGAGGAAGGGGCAAGGCATATCAGTGTTTGCACAGAGGGACATAGGTTATCCTGAAGACAAAACAGGCTCCAACAGTTGGAAGCTAAAGATAGTCAAATTTGGTCTTTCAAAGGAAGGTAAGATTTTCCTAAGGTAAGAATTAAGACATTGGAAGTTTACCATGTCAGGTACTGACATGTCAGTTGCTTAGGACAAATAAAATGAGATTACAGTACTTTCTAAACCAAGTACCTGATTTAGCTTCTGTGAAAAATTTATAATAGCTAGTGCGAGTTTGACTGGTCACAGTTGCTCCTCTGCAGTTTTCAGGCTACGAATCTAGTTGTGTACTCCAGCCCATGCTGAGGCTCACCATTAAGTTAATTTTAGTCCTCCATTTAGTTTTTCTGTATCATCCATGTGGCTTTGCAATTATCTTCCTGCCGGCTCATTAGGGTTTTTTTTATTTTAACAGCCATGATCAGTGTATTTTAGGACATTGGTAATACAGTTTAGCATCTACCTTAGTGCAGAGAGCATTTGGACAGTATCAGCAAAGCATACTATTAACATAATTTGTATTATACTTGAAAGTAATCCAGATCTTTGTCTTTAAAGAGTAGCTCTCAAGCAGCAGACTTAAATCCCTAACCCGGAAAGACATCCTAGCTTTCACTTTCAGTCTTCTCAAGGGCAGACATTTAATTACGTCTTCTCTCCAATTGTAACAATAGTCTCATGGGGGGGGCTCACTGTGGCCATCGTGGCACTTGATTTTTTTGTACTATTTTTAAAAAGTATAATTAAGATTTATTTAAATATTTTTTCAGCAACATTTTAGTACTGTCCACCTATTCAGTGATTGCTCTGTATAACACAACGCTTTGGTGACAATTAATGGTTTCTACTCCAGAATACTGCTGCTATTTTGTAATATTACGTTAGATCTGATTTGGGGGGCAGCAGCAGTAGAATGCATTGATAATTTAACTGTTAAAAACTTCAGAAATGGTATTTAACTACTTTACATTTGTTTCCTCTCTGTGTTTCTATTCCATGTTCTAAATACAATCTCCCAATGAAGGTGCAGCGCTGTTAAACTAGACTCTATGGACTATACTTAAGTCTTCTTCAAAGAAACTTCTGCTCAGGAGAAGTGAAAGCTAATTAGTTGTTTCCTTATAAAAAATTAGGAGACAAATGAAATAATGAAAAGCTGGCTGTTCAAAAAGGGGTTTGTTAATACCCAGTGCAATTAAAATGCCATCATTTCTCAACATACAGCGTGGTACACAGCCCCTTGTATGTGCTGTAAGCTAGAAGAAAGCTAATGAGAGTAATCAAGGCTTGCCAAGGTCAACTGATGAACTCCATTTGAAATTCTCCCATTTAGTCTGGTGAAAGGATGTGTTTCTGTGAATGCACTGGAAGCTGTCTATCTGAAAAGAGTCTTTATTATTACATTTTTTAAGCTCTGGTATTTATTTTCTATATTATGCAGTGAGCAGAACTCCTGAAAATAAGCAGGACTGTAAGTATTGATGCTTGTGTAGTCTTGAAGTTTGTGAAATACTAATTTTAAAATGTGGATGCTGGCCATAGCTTTTTTTTATAGTACCTTCCTTTGGCTGCAAGTATGCCTTGACTTCTCTGGATTCTCTAGCCATTCAGCAAGAATGTCTGATGATGTAGATGATAATTAAAAATATAGCACTGCAAGTAGAAAATTGTCTCAGGAAGGAAATGGGCGCAAGACTTACCAGCCAGAGCAGATAAACCAATTGAACTAGATTTCCCTGACCAGCACAAAAATCAGTATTTGCCCTGCATTCCATACATGTATCTTAAAATTTGAAAGAGGAAACTTTCTTATTTTCCTGCAATTTTCTCATATTCTGAGAGGCACCATGATAGTCTGTGGTAGGACATGGACTTCAGTGTGCTTGATTGAAGACTACAGCTTTTTGGAAAAAGGATTCTTCAGATAATATTTTCCTCCTCCCTTGCATTGCTGAACACGATGAGAGATGTCATCCTTCTGACCAAAGCAGAAAATAGGGGTCATCTTCAGCTAGTGGTCTTGCTTCTGTAGATCTGTTACAGAATTAGTTAATTCTTAATATGCATCTTTGATTAGAAGTGTGGGTACATATATGTATCTATCTATCTATCTATCTATATCTCAAACCAATTTTTTTTTTAAATTTACCTTTTATGTTGGTTTTAAAATTTTAAGTTATGTGGCTACCTTTAATTGTAGGCAGCTGGAGTCAGACACTCAGATGGCCACTGCTGCCTTGCAGTCAAAATAGTTGTTCAGTGGGCATTCATATGGAGGGAACCACCACCAGAACCTATAACTGGTTTCATTATATGTCATGCTGGCTGACTGGACAGAGGCCTTGGGGAGACTGTGTGAGATCTTTCTGTACAGGACAAACTTGCATTGAGCATTCAAAGCTTGTAATATGTGTTTGTGTAATCAGGATCTATCTGAGCAAATTTCCATGCTCCACAGTTTTGTACAGCTGCCAAATGCAACGAGACCCAATAAAATGTAGGCTTCAGTCATATTCTTCCTTCCCAGGCTTCTTCAAGTGTTTATAACTGTAATTATGTCAAATTATGTAGATTAGCCCTGAAAAGACTCCCATCAACTGGGTAGTGTTCAAGAATTTTATTGTTCAGGTTGTCTGTCAAGTCTTCTCTTAGGGAGATGCTTACTTTAGGACTACATTTATGCTGAAAAGCCTTCTAGGTGTTTGCTAGTTCACCTAGGTCAGTCTGTCTCACCACTTTTCCACAGCAGCAGTCTGCTCCCCCGTAACTGAAGGCTTGTGGGAAGCATCAGGTCAGCAGCACAGGTGCATGACAGTCCCTGTCCACCTGCTCAGTAAAGCTGCTGTCTAGTGATTGCATTGCATGGTCTGTTGTGGGACAGAGAAGGGGCTCTGAGATGTAGGAGATGGATACAGAGAGAACTCCTTGGGACATCTTTCAGTAGAAACAGCTTATGGCCAAACCATGCTCTTCTCGCTGACACTTCTTTAGTTTGTTCTGCATACTGAGAAACAGTACAGTCTCGATGCTGCAGTCGGGTTTTTTTGGGGCGGTGGTGTTTTTTTTAAGAAGCTTCTCAGTCTCCAGTCTGATTTAGGTTTATTGCTAAATAAGTATTAAATAATTTACTTGTGACATAATGATCACCCTATGAGTGAAAGTCATAGCTACATCCATCACCTGGGTGATGTAGAAAGTACACTTACAGCATGGTAGGACTCCGCCAGCAGCATAACAAAAAGGCACACGGAGGAAGTTTTTTCTGTAATTACTCTTTATCTTGAACTGTCTTTACATTTATATTTAGGTGGATAGGGATGTGACTGTTTCTTAGGCTTCTAACTAGGCTAGCCATGCTGTCCTTAGTTGCTGTTGGGCGAAAGGTGACAGGCAAGGGCTCTGTGTAGAGAGACGTATACAAAAGGACACGAGGCACAGCTAAAAACCTAAGAGATTAATCCTTTTAAGGTTGTTCCATGCTGAATTCCTTTCAATACAGCAAGCTCTATTAATTTAAGTGATTCAACTTCCAGCGTGGTTGCCATGGAAAGGTAAGAAGAGTATGCATCTGTAGGGATGGACACTTACCTCATGGGAGGGAGAGGCTGTGCACAGCCTATGCTCAGCACCCGTAGGCACTAGCATTCACATCTGCCTGGGAGGCTAACATTGCTTTTACATCCTCTGGAGATTTGTGATTCTGGTCAGTGCTGGAGGTTTCCACGGGAAATTTCCAGTTCAGAAGTGTTCAGAGGGGGTGGTTTATGCTATCCTGAGAAGCTGTAAATAAAATTTGATGCTGACAAGCATATGTATAATTTCCCAAATATCATAGTAGGAATTGCTTTGGAAGAAAAAGGGAAGACAGACAAGAGCAAATTAATTAGTTGTTCGAGTATTCCAGAAATAAACATGATGACTGAGATCCCATTTAAATACACATTAGATAATAGTTAGATTGAATAGATATTCTTCGTAGCTGTATAAAGAAAGAATAGACCTTAAAATTACTGAAAGCTTTTACATCTTGATCCTCCTACAGATACTGGCCTTTGCCAGACTGTCATTCCAAATTATTCTTACCCACCTTTTTCTTATGAAATTAAAGGATGTGCAATCCTCCTGCTAACTAGAACCATAAGCCACAACGACATCCCAAAAAAGTGAGGGAATGCAGGGTGCAGACTGGAGGTCTGTGAAGCAAGCAGAGAATCTCTACCAATTTCAGATGCCCCGTGCTGAGCTCACACAGTGCAGAAGGGGAGGCTGACACCATTAAACAGCAGACAGTTTCCTTCTAATGTCCACTCGCAGTTTTCAACCTGCACAGTAGCCAAGGACATTGGTGCACAAGAGGGATTCATTTCAGTTGAGCAGTGTGTCTAAGGGAACAATGGTCCCCAAGAACTTCTTCAGATTTTTCCATTATGAGAGCCATCGGGTGGAAAAACAGCATCATTAATT